CCGGCACTCGACCCACGACCGGCCATGTGGGAGTCTAGCACCCTTAACCACCATGCCATCTGCCAGCCCCTAAATAAAATAATTCTTTTTAAAAAAGTAATTAACAAAGCGTTTCCTTTTTTTTTTTAATAGCTATAGTATGTCCCATTGTATTTATTTACCCCTTTGTAGGTGAAGAAACTAAGGTTTTTAAAGGGTTAAGTAACGGGACCAGCAGTTAGTTGACCATGAAGTTGACCGCGGTTCGAGTCCCGGACCCAGTGGCTTAAACTCACGCGAGGCATATGTGCGTGCGTGCCCAAGATCCTGAGAGGAGAATGGAGGAGAAGGGATTGTGGTGTGACCATACCCCCTGGGGGTGATTTCTCGCTTTCTGTCTCTCTGTCTCTCTCTGTCTTCCTGGCAAGCGCACACACCCTATAGCAAAAACCTTGCCAAAAAAAAGGGTTAAGTAAGACTGGCCAAGGGACCAGCAGATGGTGAAATGGTTACGTCACTGGACCCCCATGAGGTTGACAGCGGTTCGAGTCACAAACTGGCAGGTTAAAACTCACGCCGGGCACATGTGCGAGCATGCCCAGTATACCAAGAGGAGAATGGAGAAGGGATTGTAGCATGGCCATTTCCCCTGAAGATGATTTCTCTCTGCCTGTCTCTCTGTCTCTCCAGCAATTGCATGCACCCTATAGCAAAAATCTCTCAAAAAAAATTCAACCCCGACTGGCTTAAGGTCACACACTGGGAAATAAAGCCTGCATCCAAACCTGCTCACTACCCCTCTTCTGCCATCGTAGACAGGCAGAAGGAAACTGGAGAGAAAGGAAGTCACTTCAATAGGGCCTAAAGCCCAGAGGGATGGATCAGCCACAACCAAATTTCCCTCTTAGAAGATCTCAAATAGTACCCCTCTGAGGCCAGCAGGTGTTCCGGTGGTAAAGGCACTGGATTCTCACATGGCCAACCCCGGTTCGAGTCCTGAGCCCAGAGTCCTGAGAATTGCACTGGACATGTGGGTGCATACCAAAAATCCTGAGAGGAGAATGGAGGAGGGGTTGTGGTGTGGCCATCCCCCCGGGGGTGATTTTTTCTTTTTACTTCCCTCTCTCTCTCCACAGAGCGCATGTGCCCTACGGCAAAACTTAAAAATAAATGAAGAAATCATTCACACCGGCCAGGTGAGCAGATGGCATGAAGTGTTAGGGCACAGGTTCTCACATGGCTAACTGCATAGTTGAATCCTGGACCTGGTGGTTTGAGAACCACGGGCACATGTGTGTGCATGCTCAAAATCTAGAGAGGAGAATGGAGAAGGGATTGTGGGGTGGCGGTCCCCTGTCGGGGGAGGGAATTTCTCTAACTTTCCCCCTCTCTCTGATGAGTGTTTGCGCCTATAACAAAATAACAAAGCAAAACAAGCCACACCCCTCAATGTAGGAAGGACCACTTAGTACAAAACTGACATGCGCCTACTCTTCTGGCCTGGGAAAAGGACGGAAAGGGGAGTAACTGCTGCTTCTCTCCTGCACCAGGAGGCAGCATGGCATGGTCAGAGTACCATTTAGTGAACACCAACCAGGTGCCAGAAGGTACTCATTTAGTTTTCCCAACAACTCCGCTTTTTAGATGAGGAAACGGAGGCACAAAATGCTTAAGGAACTTGCCATAGGTAGAGAATACAGGACCCCAGTGGGGGAGGGAAAGGACCTGGATTCTAGGCTTGCCTCTGTTGGTGACTGACCAGTAACGATTCTCCCCAAGTCTGTTGTGATTTCTCCTCTGCAAGATGGGACCAGACGGGACTAGCAGTTGGCGTAATGGCTGGGTCACTGGACTCCCATGTAGTCGACCGTGGTTCGAGTCCCGGACCCAGTGGCTTAAACTTATGCCGGGTGCGTGTGCGTGCGTGCCCAAGATCCCGAGAGGAGAATGGAGGAAAAGGGATTGTGGCGTGGCTATCCCCCCCGGGGGGTGATTTCTGGGTTTCTGTCTCTCTGTCTCTCTCTGTCTTTCTGGCGAGCACACGAGCCCTATAGCAAAACCCTCTCAAAAAAAAATAAAAATGAAAAAGATGGGACCAGACAATAGCTGAGTTTTCCTTTAGCTCCCAGATGAGTCTTTTCTTTCTTTTTTTTTAAATTTGTTGTAGGACATGTGTGCTCATGTGGTGGGCAATGAGGGGGGCAGAGAAAATACCCACCCAGGAAGGATGGCCATGCCACAGTCCCCTCTCCTCTTGGGATTTTGGGCATGCACACACACCTAGCATGTTTTTCAAGCTGCTGGGTCCAGGACTTGAACCATGCAAGTGGCCATGTGGGATTCAGTCACCTTAACTACCATGCCCGACTGGCCCATCCCCCTGATGATTCTTACTGCTTTAGCCAACTTCTGTTTGAGACAGCATTCCCCAAGGGTCGGAGATG